TATGTCAACAGAACTACACTGTAAAGCAACCTTCCCCCTCCATCCCAGGTCATTTATTAACACAGTTCAAGATTAGCCAGTCTTTTCAGCCCACAGCAGCATGAAAAGTTACATCAGCTTCCACCTGGCAAACACACATGCTTTCATCAGAGGACAGAGAGAGGGCTCGAGGGAAGAGGCCCTGCAGCAGTCGGCCAACTTCACGGGTCAAGATACCTCAATGCTGTGCATTATGAAACGCCTGGCACCGTTCTGGTGTGATGCAAGCAGGCGCACTCGCTAAGGCAGTAAACGCGTTGAACGCCCAGCTCTGGAGAAGGTTCCCTACAGACATGGAGCCTTTGAGAACAAAACAGCAGCCAGGGAGGGGGACAGACTACGAGCAGAGTTAAGTCTGGCTAACGGAGAGCAGCAGACGGGCTGGAAACACCCTGGTAAGCATCTAGTGCCAGAAGCGGGGTATTTGGAATCCTGTCTTTAAAGACCATCTTATTCTGCAGCCTTGGGGAAGGTCCTTAACAAGTTTATTCCTTAAGTCCTTCCCCACGTCACTTGCAGAGCAGACAGTAGCAGTGCATCCTCCCGCCTGCACGGTGAGGCAGGATTCCCGACTGTGGCTGTCCTTCATATCGGGTCCCAGTTCAAGCAGAGCTGCTAACGGTAGGAAGAGCACTGCTAGCTGGAGGATGGAGAGCACGATTTCTGCATGTTCATACAGAAGCCTTGTATGAAAACTCTACAGGGCTTGAATAACAGCGTTAGACAGTAGAGCTGATATTCTGAGCTCCTAACCCAGTGAAGGAAACAACACTAATAGAGAGATCTACAAACAATATATTCAGGATGCACATAAGTTTTCAGTCTTTAGACGCTATGGCAGACAACAAGTGTAGTTTAATAGACAGAAAAGAGAAGTCTGTACAAGAGGAAGAGAATTTCCAGAGCAGCAAGATAAACAGCAGGTGTTCGCAGGTGGCAAACAGAAGAGCTGGAAAACAGCCATTTCACAGCTCCTGGAACCGTCAGATCCATTCACAGGAAGCAAGAGAGACACACGGGCTATTCGCCCTCCTGCTAGTACAAGAGCAAGAATGGAAAGAGATCCCAAAACGGGGGCTGCTGCCTCCGCAGCTACCACAAAGGGATTTTCATTCTGGAAGAGGGCTGCACGTGCCGTTGGCAAAGGGCTTGCTGGATGAGGGATGAAGGGAACGAACGTGGAAAGACAAAGCCGGGATCTGCTGCTGGCGCAGACAAGAGCCCAGGCCCTCGTTAAATATTTGTGCTGCGCCCATCTCAAACAGACCATCCCTCAGAAACGTCCCGGTCAGTTAAGACCTCACCGAACACGGACGCGACTGTCTTTTCTTCCCCTCCAGCTGACGAGGAAACTTCAGCTGAAAGGCGACACGCCTCCCTCAAGGTCAGGGGCGGCGGTGCTTAGAGGGAGCACGGGGCCCCGGCTCCGTCCTGCACCGGGACGCTCTCTGCTCTGCTCCCGGCTGCAAACCCGCTACTCGAGTGAGACCACGGCGCTTCCCGCAGGCTGCGGCCCGGCTCCCGGGGCCCGCCCGCTG